GTAAGTGTCACATTGAGACACTAACCGTGGTTACGCGCCCGCACACACCACGACAAGTAAGTGTCGCGGTTAGACACTAACCGTGGTTACGCGCCCGCACACACCACGACAAGTAAGTGTCACATTGAGACACTAACCGTGGTTACGCGCCCACACACACCACGACAAGTAAGTGTCGCGGTTAGACACTAACCGTGGTTACGCGCCCGCACACACCACGACAAGTAAGTGTCGCGGTGAGACACTAACCGTGGTAACGCGCCCGCACACAACACGACAAGTAAGTGTCGCGGTTAGACACTAACCGTGGTTATGCGCCCGCACACACCACGACAAGTAAGTGTCACGGTGAGATACACTAGCCATTGAGACTCACCTTCGTCCGCAGAAACTTGGAGCCTCCATTGAGGAAGACGGATGGCGGCGTGTCGCTGGCGTTCAGAGCGGAGACGTGCACGAGAGTCTTGACGCCCATCTGACGCGAGGCGCGCGCGATTGCCCGCGCCGCCCTCACGTTCACGTCCTCAAACGTAAAGTTCCTGATCGAAACAACGCAAGTACGTGTATGTGCGTGTGCGTGCTTATGTACTAGTGTGTGTGTGTGTGTGCGTGCGTGCTTATGTACTAGTGTGTGTGTGTGTGCGTGCGTGCTTATGTACTAGTGTGTGTGCGTCCGCGTGATTATGTACTAGTGTGTGTGTGTGTGTGTGTGCGTGCGTGTGCTTGTGTGCCTGTGCATGTGTATGTGCATGCTTATGTACTAGTGTGTGTGTGTGTGCGTGCGTGTGTGCGTCCGCGTGATTATGTTCTAGTGTGTGTGCGTGTGCGTACGTGCTTATGTGCTAGTGTGTGTGTGTGTGTGCGTGCGCTTGCTTATGTACTAGTGTGTGCATGAGTGTGCATGTGTGTGCGCGTGATTATGTTCTAGTGTGTGTGCGTGTGCGTCCGCGTGATTATGTTCTAGTGTGTGTGCGTGCTTATGTACTAGTGCAGTCTTCACAAATAACTTCTTGAGCCACTTACCCTTCGGGCAAGTACTCAGTAAAAGGTACATGCCCGAATGACATTCTGGTTTCCCATATATTTTGCAGGATATTTTTGAACTATCAAGTAAAGAAGTATACACGTAGACAACTTCTAGACGCCATTCGTTTCCGGTGTTAACACTTCGTGATTTTAAATTAAAAACCTTTAGTCAGTTGTATTATGTTATAGTTTAGGCGTTTTTAAAGCAGGAGCCCGCTTCGATACTCACTTTGTCTCGAAGTCTCTGCCTACAAGGTTGATGACAACGTTTGAATACTTCACAGCTTTCCTAATCGACTCCTCGTCCGTGACCTCATACGGCTGTAATGAAAAACAAGAGTCAAAATTATAGCGATCAAAAAATAATATTAAAAATAACAACCCAAAAAAATGCCAAGGTAATTTGCATGAGATTAGTGAAAATGGGACGTGAAACTTTCGTACAAACAATTAATTCCACGGACAAGTCTACTAAATGGAGCTAATAGTAACATGAAAATAATGAGTAAGGTAGATTAACTAAATGCGAGATTTGGTGACGGTATGACAGTAGCTATCGGATGAACCAATCTGACATTGATTGCACCAGGTAAGAAATACAGGGGCACCGACGAAGGTTGAAGGTCGAAGGTCGAGCTACTCACGTAGAATAGCATCTGTCCGAGATCGGACGCAACCTTCATCCTCATGACATCGTAGGGGTCGCCACGGTAGGGAACGATCACCTGCGTCCCAGACTTGGCTGCGAACATAATCAACGCACTCAGACATCGGACCAATACCACCACCGCCAGCAACAGCAGTAGCAGCACCACTTCGACCAGCACCACCACTAGCAGCAGCAGCGGCAACATCAGTAGCAGCACCGCCGCCACAAACACCACCACAAACAACAAACAACAACAACAACAACAACAAAATGCAACCACCAACCCTAGGCAACATCCTCGAATAAAAACACCAACAAACGGGACGAAAACAAGACGGCATCTCTCGGTGCTCGCCCGCGCTCGCCCGCGTGACTCACCGATACGGTTGATGACATAGCGTCCAAGGAAACCGGACGATCCGAAGACGGTCGCGACGGTGCCGCTGAACGAGTGCTGACCGCCGCGGCCGCGCTTGTACGTTGCGAGATCGCCGCTGTGCGCGTGCCTCGCCTGCACGCCGCCGCCGACGGCCAGCGGCGTGCTGCAACCTGCGGGAGGGAGACGAATCCCGGTAATTAAACACCCGTAATTACACCTGTAATTAGGGCACAAGGATATAAGAGCTGTCCACTTTGCACATTTGCACATGTCGCACATTGCGAAAATGAATTGTGGTCGAGGCTTACATCATCCATGAACCGTAATGAGACCAATTTCGGTTTATTAAAATTTTTAATTTAATTGTCTTTTAATCTCAAACATCAACTGCAACTATGTGTAGAAGATAAGTGAGACAAGTGTTGCTTGTTATCCAGTTTTAGACAGTAGTAACAGTAGTCAGCTAATGTATAAACTAATTTAGTCTCACATTTTGTTTTACACTGACGACGAACTGGACTTCCTAAATTCTAGTAACCTAGAAAATCATTAAATGTAATTTAAACACCTGATATCATATGTTCCTAACTTACTCGTATCATTACACACTTCGCCAAACTAAGAAAGGTATATATGCATAATAAACTTCAGAGAAAAGGTCAAAATAACGTCATCAGAGCCACTAATAGCACTATGAGTATGACCTTTACTTTTCTTTAGCATTGTGATTGTGACTGTCTGTTTTGGCTTCTCGGTACATTTGCTCATAACTAGTACAGTGGATCATATAGTTACATATGGAAATCAAATCAAACAAAACAGTAATATCTTTGGAGTAGTTCACCAAGTTCGTATACCAATAAATGATAATAACATATATCGTAGTAATACTTACGACAAGCCGAAAATATAGACCTGCCGCCTCCAAATACACACACAGCTGCCATTGCTGTCATTCTGGCCAAGAGGGCACCCGGCAGTTAGATGGGTAATGCTATCCCCCGGGCCGTGGAGGAGGTGACCGCAAACGTGGCGCACTAGTGTTAGAATAGTGTTAGGATTAGGGTTCAGGGTCAGGATTATGGTTAAGGTTAGGGTTAGGGTTAGGGTTAGGATTAGGGTTAGGGTTAGGGTTCAGGATTAGGTTAGGGTTAGGGTTTTTGCATCATGATATCTGTCCCCCACCATAGATTAATTTTTGTGGATACCACTGCCTATATATATGGCGGCGACAATATATTTTTAGTGTGAAGGTTAGTGTTGTCGGTGTTGGAGTTCGGGTTAACGTTAGGTTTAACTTTTTGAGTCTGCTCAACGTTATACGCTGACCTCCCTTTCCACGCCGGGGATAGCACACACCCTATACAAGTATTAGCATATCAATACGCAGTGACGTTATATAATGTAGTTCCACTATCATAACAGCGCTGACGCCACGAAGGCGGAGCTTTCACAGATAACATCTAGTAATATAATGCGGAAAGATCAGAACATCACATTGGAGCGTCAAGATGGATCGGGCAGTGACGAGTGCAGGGCTAGACTGCTACCGACCTTTCACTCAATAGTTGGCTACACTGAAGTTAGTTACGGCTGCGTGTCGAACTGTGGCACGCGCGGCAGTCTAGGTCATCAAGCCGAGCGTTTTTTTAAAAATACTTGAAATATGGTACGGTAGATGGACTCGTTGCGCCATCTATGGGCGCGATAACTTCGAACTAATCTCAGGGTATAAACAGACAAAACGCTAAATTCGTTTTCTACAGGAAAAAGACGAGCGCCGAGCCACAAAGCAACAAAAACGAGTATTTGGATTTATTCTCGCCCTACGTGCGCTAGTCGAAAGCTTTCTGCAATCGCCACAACTCCTCAATTGACCGATTATACGGCTTTATCCTTTACCCAGAAGGGCCTCGGGAGAAGCATTCTAAATAAGGGCAGCGATTAAGTCATGGTGTCGCCGTGCGCGGCGTTTGCGCGCTTCGCGCGGATATCCGGGCTGCAGATCGTCCAGTCTGTGTATCCGTTAGTCTGTGGGCATATGTTTCAATTAGACAGACTGATCGCGTGACGTCAGTGTACGTCACGCACGAATTCGGCTATCTCCGAAGTTGAATGCATGTACGCATATACAGCCTGCTATTGCATGCATCAGACTTTTCGTATATATTAAGATGATGCACAAAGCCTAACCATAACCCTAACCTACTTAAATTTAATTAACACTAATAAATTTACATTTATTTAAAAAAAAGGATGTAAAATTGTAAATAAATATGTAAATATTTGCGTTAATTGGGGAAAAAATAGTTAAATGAATAAAGATAGAAAAATAAAAAATGTAAACAGATGGTATTCGAACCGACGACCTACAAAAGTAACGTCCGTCGGCGTACGAGCGAGGCTCAGTGCCGGATTAATCATTAAGCAGACTAAGCACGTGCTTAGGGCACCAGGGCAAAGGGGCACCACAAAGTTGGGATAAGGGGGGAAAAGAAAAAAAACGAATAAGATTTTGTACTTCCAGGTGTACCACAAGGGGCCCCAACAATACAATACAATACAAGGGGCCCCTAATGCACCCAACAAGGTGACTAATTCCAATTATCAGTAAAGCAAAAGGTACTCAAAGACTTGTCAGACACGTATCATTGATGCTTATCCAGATGAATGAAAGCAACTTTGTCTACAGAGCTTCAGCAGTTAGCATTCATATGTTCTTCATAAGTTTAAAACAACAAGAAAACATCTTTCACTCACATGAAGTTTAAAACACAATTAGCAAGAGACAACTAGAGAGTGCTTTCCAAATGTTAAAATTGCCTTAAGAATATTTTTAACATTAAATGGTCACAACTGCACAACGTGTAAAAAAACTCAAATAGATTGATCGTAGTTCAGAATGAAGGTGTACATGCATGTACGCTCAAAAGTGCCTCAATCCATCGCCGGTGATCTACATTTAAAAATGTCTGGGGGAGGACCCCATACCCCGCTGTTTTATACCACCCTCCTTGAATCCTACATAAATTTTTGTACTGCTGCAACTGCATTGTATAATCTGGTCAGAGAAGGTCCACAACTAAAATGGACTGGGTCGTGTGGAAAGGAGGGGGGCACAAAGATTGGTCAGTGGCTTAGGGCACCAGTGAGCCTTAATCCGCCTGGCGAGGCTACTCAGCGTCTTTCGAAAATTTATTATGGATGTGCTATATATGCATAATGATGTGCGTGGCGTGATTGTTCATGGTGGTGGATAGCCATTGACGTCACCTGACGTCACGCGATCAGCCGCTTAATGGAACATATATCCACCGTTATATTTAGCTTCCTTGGTTCACACGTGTGCTTCTCAGGCTAACGCTCCATTAGGAGTGTTCCCACTTTGATATCATTAATGATTAATGATTAATGATTGATAATCGTAGACCTAACCCTAATTAAATGACATTAAACACAACTAATATATGACCATGACCTTATGATGATAATATGTTATTATGACATCTAATGACATTAAAGTTGGGAACACTCCTAATGGAGTATCACCCGCCTTCCAGCATGTGCCTTGCGCTCATAGGGTCTATGTCCCAGGGTACTCGCCGGAACGTACCCTGAGTAGGTCCGGTAACCGGAACGTACATGGTGCTATTTGATAATGGTTAGTTTAGGATTAGGTTAGGGTTAGGTTAGGTTTAGGTGTTCGGGTTCGGGTTGGGAGTGGGGTAGGCGACTCCCTAGACTCGTTAGTGGAGTAGGCTAGGTACGGTCCGGCATATAATATCAAGAGTGCATAATAGAGATTTTGCACTCTATTATGCACTCTTGATAATATAGTACAGGGTACGTTCCGGTATACCGGACGGGAGTCTGGTCATCTTCGGTTCATCTGCCAACCAGTTAGCCGGCGAACGCGAGCTGTCCGATCTCGAAATTGACGTACGTGGGCGGTATCGTCATGATGGCTAA